CTGTCCTTTTAGCTGCAATGTCAGGTCTTCTACCTCAGAGATGAGAAAGTGACCAAGATACTCATGAAAGACAACTTCCAGAACTGCTTCAGCAAGTGGCAAGAACTGCCAGGCGCTATGGTGCACGACTATAATCTCAGCACTTTGGAGGCTAAGGTAGGAGACCACTGTTAGTTTGAGACCAGCCTAGAATACATATTGAATTTAAGGCCAGCCTGAACTCCAAAACAAAACAAACAAACAAAAAACAAAAAACAAAACAAAGGAAGGAAGTAGCAAGACTGATGGGATGAGTATGTTTGAAGTCAGGGAAGGTATCTTGAGGGGGTTATTAATGGCCGTGTGTTTTTTACTTTAAGAATTAAAATTTTAAAAAATATTCACCACATATTTTGATCATGCTGCGCATCAGCACGGGAACTTGGACAACTCAGGCCACAGAGTCCCACTACAGTGGCAGGAAGAGCCCATTCGCTGCTTGTGTGTTTGTCTGTTTGTTTTAAACACAGGGTCTTGCTATGCAGTTCAAACTGGCCTTGAACTTTGGCATCCTCCTGCGTTAGCCTCCCCCAGTGCTGGGATTACAGGTGTGCGCCACCACACCCAGCTGCCCAGTTCACTGTTAAAGCTTAGCAGGATGAAGGAAGGTAAGATGGGGAGAAACAAAAGAAAAGCTCCTTCTCCTGCCTGGAGGAGAGAGGGATGACAGTGCAAAGACAAAACAGGAAGATATGAGGTCCCAGGATCTCCGGTCCAGGCAAGGATGTGGGCAGGGAATGAAGCACTAAAGAAGTCCACGGTGCCCTTGAGGGCAGATGATCATGTCCAGGTGGCCTGCCATGACAGGATGAGGTGGCCCAAGCCGGGAAAGAGCTGGGTAGGAGGGCAGGGTGAAACCCTGGCAAAGCCTGACGAGGGGAGGGGTGACCAGACAACAGGTCACCAGCCCCAGACTTCTGCAGGAGAGGAGTGTCTTACACATCATTCCTAATCCTCACCATGTCTTTGGAGAATTTCCCGAAGGTCTTGTTTGGAAGTAGAATTTACAGTGCTTTCCACAGTGCCTTCAGCATCCACAGTGCCTTCAGCATCTTCCTCTGTAGCAGAAGAGTCTACTGAGAGAACATGAAGCTTGGTCTCCACATCACGAGCATCTGGCTTTAGGAAAGCAGCTGGACCATCAATGCCTAGGAGCCCCCAAAAACACGGGAGGAGAGTATTATGTACTACGCAGCCAGGTGGTTTGGGTATGTGTGTTCACAACTCACAGCCACCAAACCATTTCCCTCTCCTCCTCCCTAAACAATGCAAAGACATTTACCAAGACGGGGTTTATGTCGGTAACTTGCTTGGTTACTGAAGCAAAATATAGTTTATGTTGTACTTTATGTTGTACTAACTAAAATTTAAGATCAAGAGGCTGGCGGTATAACTCAGTGGTAGAATATATACCCAGCATAGGCAAAGTACTGAGTTCCGATCCCAGCACTGAAGCGGGGTAGGGGGGATGAGACCAAGACAACCAAGCAGGTCCTCTACAGTACAGATTCTGCTCAAGCAGCCTGACAGAAAAGCTCCTCATCCTTTCCTTCTTTCTTCTCTCGCCAGCTCAGAGGATCCTTTGAGCTACCTGTTGTAAGAAAAGGTTGGGGGTGGGGGGAGGTGGTGGAAAAAAAAAAAAAGAAAAGGTGCTCTCTGCCCACCCTTGGAACATGGTTAGCCTCTGCCCCAATACAACAATCGAAACTGTAAACTCATGGAGAGAGTGTAGCTCAGTGGCATGGTACTTGCCCAGCATACACAGAGCTCTGGGCTCCATCCTGTTATGGCTGTGTCTAGATGCCCCCCACCCCAAGCCTCATGCAGTCGTAGGTGGGCTTCTCAGAGGCGGCTGGGTCTAGACTGTGTGATGCTGGGCTTAAGGGTGTGTGATTACTAAATTCGTCAACGAATTGGTTTGGCGTAGTTCTGGGTGTGGACAATGGGAAGGCCTTCCTGGATGTGAGTGGGACCCGCTCCACGGGCTGCAGCCTGGACAGAATATAAGGCGCAGAAAGAGGGCTGCTGCCATTGCTTGCTGCTGCTTCCTTGTTACCTCACTGCTCTGCTGCCTGCCAGGAACTGCTTTTTCTCTGCCATGCCTTGGAGCCAGCCAACTAAACTGTGAGCCCAAACAAACCTTTCCTTCTTTAACTATGGGTGTCAGGTATTTTGTCTCAGCAATGAGAGAAGTAACTAAGACAGGTCCTCAGTGCTGCAAACAAGCCCCCAAACCCTGCACATGCTTCAACAGGTTTTTTTTTTTTTGCACTGGGAAGTGAACTCAGGACCTTGTACTTGCCAGGCAGGTGCTGAGCCGCTGAGCTATATCCTGACCTTAATAGGTCATTTTAGATTAATTGAATTGGCATCTAAAAACAAGTTCTAGGATGGACATGAACTTGAAGGTATCTTCTGCCGGTGCCGACTACTCTTTAACGTCCTCCTCAACGAGTCAGAATGATTACAAAGAGCTGTGCGGGACTGAGGAGCCATGCTAACCCGGCCCTGTGCTCATCTCAGAACCCTCCCGCCTTCACTTAGGCCTGCGAGCTGCACTCCAGCAGGAAGCACAGCTGCCCCATACATACCATGCAGGACGACGTCGCTGTGAAGAGTCTGCGGCTCTACCAACGGCGTGTGCTCCTCACTGCCGCTGGGCTTCAGCCGACGCAGCCTGGCTTCTGGGTTTGGCTGGACCATGAGCGGCTCCAGGCGCTTCTTCCTCTGCTTCTTCTCCAGTAGTGCTCTCTAGGAAGCAGAGGCGCCGTCACAGCCAGCAGATCCGACCAGCGGTTCTTCCCCCTCTGGGGACGGAACGGCAACTCTGCCACCCAGCCACACCACCAGCCCTTCTTAAGCTCTATTTTGAGTCAGTCTCACTATGGTGACCAGGCTGCCTTTAACTTTTGGTCCTTGTGCATGAGCCCCCCAGGAAGCTGGATTTACACATGTGTCCCACTGTGCCCTGCTGCCAGTCTGAATACTTACAGTCTGTTTCTCACTGATCCTCAGAAAAACTGCTGTGAATGATTTTTCCCGACATGAGAAATGGGGAAATTGAGGTACGTTTTTGACAAATATTTATCAAACATCTGTAAGAATCTATTTAAAGCAGGGCATGGTGACACAC